AGTTGACAGTTGACAATTGACTTGACAGTTGACAGTTGACAGTTGACAGTTGACAGTTGACTTGACAGTTGGGAGTTGACAGTTGACTTGACAGTCGGCTCCACAATGGACTTGACAGTTTGACCATGCTCGAACACAATCTGAAAAGCATTCCAGATTTCAGGGAATCCGATTTCATCTTTGGAAATAGGTTCCGTAAGACGTGTGTGGTCGGGTAATGGCCCCGGTAATTGGAGAGAAAGAACCAATGTGAAAGAACAAATGATGTATCTAGGATTCCAGCAGGTGCTGCTCCCCACCAGTAGACTGGAGAGAGCATGGCGAGGCCTAGTAGGGAAAGAGGCTCACATCACTCCCCATAGTAGACCGTGACTGAGTCCTTGAAAAAAAAAAAAAAAGACGTCACATGTGGGTGGGGTTTAATGTTCATTTCCCTCCCTTTGTCGGAGGGAAAAGCAGAATCCCTTGTGATCTTATACATCTTGGGCGCTTTGTTCATTTCTGGTTCCACGGAATAGGTACATTTCATAGTGCATACGGATTACAGAATTATCTAGTAAAATACTCTTTTAAGTTTTAAGCTTTTCAAAAATAGATATTAATATTAATTTCTATTATATGTACATATACGATACATCTATATAGATATACTACATCGATAATATGCTCCGATATAGATATTGAGTGGTATTGGTACACGTTTTGCAACACATCCCACAGCTACATCCGGCAGTTTCTGGTAATCGTTTTTTGTTTTGGTAGTTTCGCATTTCAACCACAAGCAACTTCAACATGATGGTTGGCTTTTCAGTGTTTTCACACTTGAAGTACTGTGTTGTTCAATACATGAACCTGTGTTCAACACACAAAAAAAAAAGATGGGGAGAAAATAAATAACAAAAATGGTTAACTGTCATAACTGAGCAAGACAATGCCTTAAAACAAAAAAAAAAAAGAAAAAAAAAAGAGGGCATTTCGCAAAGACAGAAGGGAGGGGCAATTCTTGGTGTGGCACTTGTGGGATTTCTGCTTGCTTACCCAACTGTGTGGCAATGATCCCAGAACAGACCATCGATAATCCCGGCAATCATGCTGCAAGGCCAATGCCAACATCCCCCC